TGTGCAGGTGAAATCACAGCTCAGCAGATGCTGAATGGGGCACAGGGCTCAGGCAGGGCAGTGCTGCTCCCTGGAGCTGTTCCTGCCCTGGGTGAGCTGCCCTTCCCTCCTGAGCAGTGCCCATCTGCCAGGGCTCAAACAGTGCACAGACACCACAGCTCTGCCCAGCTCTGTAAACCCACACAGCAGCTCCTTAACGCTCCCTTTTTAGCTGCAGATACTTCTACACCAATTTAATTGCTCTTCACAGATTGTTTCTAATCCTCATTAAAGTGGCTGTGCCATGGCCTGAGTGACACAGCTGGAATCTGTCACCACAGCTGCASGTGCACATGGCAGGGATGTCACTGTGCAGCATCAGAGATGTCCTAAATAGTTCTGCTCCCTCTAAAYGCAAAGGCTTGTGTAATGTCTGATCAGCAACAGGCCTACTTTGAGCTGTAATTGTTGGCAGATTTTCCCTGCTTTTCCCTGGTATATTTTTATAACACAAATAATTTTAGAATTTAGGTCTGGCCTAGCCTAGAATTCACCTAGAACATGAGGACGCGTTAAGCCACCCCCACTAGGGCTGCCCTTGGCACAAGCATCAGCAAACACAGGATTACAATYCTTCTCCATATTGCCTTTCACAAAAAAAGGGAAACAGTTCAACTTTGACTTATTTGAGGTCTGACTGGTTCTCTGTCCTCCATACCCCACGCTGAGGTGCACCCAGGTGTCACCAGCAAACCCAAACACCACATTGAAATGGAGAAAGCAAGCCCAGAGTATTTGCTATCAGCACATTTTTTCCTACGAAAGAACATTCAAATAATTAAAAACACAATTACTGTTGCTGATGGACAAAATAATTCTTGTGTCCTTTATTGAAAATTATTTCAGTTACTYGGCATTTCAGCTAATCTAAATGTTACCTCTGGGCACCTGATCATCTGTGGCTGTGAGAGAGAGAATATGTGGCCCAGAGTCAATGATTTACAAAGCAGCTGAACAAATAAACTTGGACTGTACCCACATTTTCTGAGCGGAGCTTTTTGGCTGGGCAGCCTCCATCGATGGGGTGAAGCATGTAATAGAGACGGACTTTGCTGGCATGCTTCCGACTCTGGAGCAGAAAGAGAAGGAAAAGGAGAGCTGAGGTTACAAGGAGCAAAGGTTCTGTTGCTGTGCTCACTACACCAACCCACAGACAGATTTCACAACCCCTCGACATGTATAACCAACACCCCAGCAGAAAAGGGGGACGGACTCAGGTCAGGAGATTTGCACTCCTCGGGGTTTTCACAGAGCTCTGCACCCAGATGACACTGTGGGATGGAACCAGCCCTTAGCAGAAGAAATGRTCCACCCTGTCCTGCTGCCTGCAGCTCCTCCAGGACACAGCAGGGCTCAAATGGTGACAAAAACACAGAATTTGCTGTCAGACCTTTCCATGGTGGGGCAGCTTGAAAATGAGTGCTCCTGAACTTCAGCCACAGACACCACAGCATCCTAAAGATCAGAGGCACACACACACACACACACACCAAATACACAGCTCCTATGATTCCAGAATGATCAAATGTAAAAAGGGTATAAAATCTCCCATGAAGGACACAGGAGCACGTTTCTTGCTGCCTTTGGGCACAGCTGGAGCTCACTGGCAGGTGAGGGTCAGAAAAGACAGGAGATCCCCTGGTGACCCCAGCAGCAGCCAAAGCAAATCCTTGGGACTGGCAAGATTTAGAATAAGATTTTAAAGCTGTTACAGCAGGAACACAGACATAAAACCTTCAAAATCCTGAGTTAAATCAGCTCATCTTCCAGCACATGCAGGGGGAAAAGCTTTTAGACACAAAATACCTGCAACCCAGCACATGAGCAGCAGACACATGGGGAGCTGTTATCATGCAAACATTTCTTTGAATCTCCCTTTCCAATTGCCCCACAGAACAGCACTGTTATGGTATAATTTCAGATCACAGAGCTGAGMTGCAATTTTTGAAATATTAAATTATCATTAGCATGTTCTGGAACATTCTTTTTCCTGTGGTATAAACTTGGAGCTAAATTTGCAGGGAGCTATATTTGTATTCTCATGCAGAAATATGACTATGCAATAATTTTTTCCACAGAGCAAATCAGTCAAGATAAATAATGTCAAATATCTGTCCCCAGCTTGTCTTCCTGCTGCATTTAGCAAATGTGACCTGCCATGGTCAGAGCGAAGTGCAGGAAATCCCAAAGCTCCAGCTCTCAGATGAGCARCTCAGACAGTGACTGCGTAATTACAAAATGACAAAATAGATGTTTAAATGCACAGGACCAAGGTACTGGCACTTGGCTGTGGTCCCAGCTTCCTGCCTGAAGTGATCCTGGGCAGCACACGGTGACAGTCAAACACACCTAAGGGAATGTGGCCCGAGTTTCTCAGCTGAATTTCTCCCTGAGCACTGACACCCCCCAGAGCCGTCAGCCTCCCTCGAGTCATCCTGCCCAAAGTCACGAGGCTGAGTTCATCCTGCACGTCACCATGCCCACGCACACAGCACAGCCTGCTCAGCTCCGAGGGTAAAAACTTGGGGAGGGCTTGCTGGGTGTGTGTAACACACAAAGATGTTAAGAGGAATAATTTTTACAATTCTGCTCTGTGGCACTCAGCTGGGCCAAATGATGCCCAAATGGCAGCGTTAAGAGACACTGAAACCTTCTGTAAAACACCTCTCACCTTTCSTTACGCATTTGTTTGGATTTGTGAAAGCCAAGGTGAAGAAATAACTTGCGTCTGGCATAATTTAAAACTACACAGGTCCTTATGCAACCTTATTATCTTACAGTCATAAAAGCAGAGCCTTTGCGTGTAGTGCTGAGCATCTCCTTCCCTCTGCGGAGCAGRGAATGCACAGCCCATTTGTCATCCATTTTATCTCTGGCATTTTCTACATTTACATGTGTATTTATCATCCCAACAGCCCAGCAGGAGCACAGTGATTATTCCCAGTGTGCTGCTCACCAACAGCCCTGCGGGTTCTCCTCTCCCTTTGCAAAGCACMTGAAAGCCTGCAGCTCCAAGCACAAGGAGGGCAGACAAATGGGGGGCCAAAGGCAGAACCATCAACAGGAACCACAAAACTGGGATAAACCGAGATTAGAGCACCTCCAGCTGCCATTTTSATCCACCTCACCACATGCACAAGCCTTAGAAGAGACAGAACCATGCCACATCTGTAAATCTGCTGTCCAAAACAAGCACACTGCCTTGTGGAGGCACCTCCAACAGCCACCACAAGCTCCTTTTGGGTGCAATAATGGCATTTCTGTGCCCATGAACATTTCTTTTGTAGCTGCACAAAGTGTTACGCCAAAGGCATTTTCACTTCACCTTCCTCTCTCCAGTGGGAACAACACATTTCAAAGGCACCAAGTCTGGTTTAATTCTGCAGGCTTGAAAACCAGCCCTGACTACGCAAGGAGCTCAGACACAGTCTGTTTTCACAGCTGCTGCAGAGGTCTGCACTGCAAGCTCATTTGCTACTGTAAGGCTCATCAATAAAWGTAAATAAATGGATCATTTCTATCTCTATCAAATCTACTCTAATACAGAGGACTGTGGCAGAGACAGCAAAGTTCTGSCGATTCAACCCTAAAACATGAAAAGGCAAAGCAGAGCTGACCTGTGCTATGAAATGCAATCTGACTTTGCATAAATCAGGTTTTGCAGCACGCTGTGCCTGGGGCGAGCAGGGGAGCAGGCAGTGAGGTCTCTGTGGGATCAGGGGCACTGTGGGGCCCTGGGAGCTGTGGATGGGGTGGTTGGGGACGGGCAGGGTTTTCACCCTGTTTGATGGAGGGGATTCTCATCTTCTCCCTGGATTCACCAACAGCTCTGGGGAGGACTGACCCACCTCCCTTCCCACAGCCAGAAGT